TTTTTCATTTCGACAAATTTTGATATTTGATTGATTCTTTTGTCTTTGATTTGTTCGTTCGTTCTTGAAAAGATAAGTAACTTTAGTGTTTATACATTTCCCCACTCGTATTGAGAAAAAGTTTCGAATGTTTTATTCGGTAGACTACAATTTAAAATAGTTAGGACTTTTCAATTTCTGTTCAATTTTCTTTTTCATTATGATTATTAGATTATCTTTTTTGTGTCATTCATAAAATTAATAAAAAGTTTTCTTTTGATTTAAAGAAAAAACTAATGATAAGAGAAAATGATATATTCAAAAGAAAAGATAATTCTTGTTCATTTGAGTTCAATTAATGATATGAATATTGCTGCTTTATCCTTGATGTCCTTTTTGAAAAAAAAAAGGCAGAACAGTAATAGAATTAATCAGATAGAATTCTGTTTATATTCTAATTGTTTATATGAACTATGTTTTGCTATGAAAAAATTGATAATACTTATATGTTTAACATGTTCAATCAATATTTAAGAAAAAGTTCGAAATATTTTCAAATTATCTCTCATACTAAAAGATCAACCATTTAATATTCATACGTTTTTAATTTCTAATATAATTTTGTTAATTTTCTGATAGATAGTTGAAATATAGTGTCAATATGTTATCAATCGAATAAAAAGATTGTTATTTATAAAAAGAAAAATGTTTCAAGGTTGAACGTCTATATTAGTGTTGGTAATTTCCATTGAAAAATGAAATATGTACGTTAACGAAGATTGTATGGATTTTTATTAGCGACATCTTTTATTATCGTGGTCAATGTGTATCAATAATGGCTAAGTAATAATAAATGAATAATTTTATTTTCCTTCATTTCATATTGATGTAGACTTCGATTTCATATAGTGAAAGTAGCAAAAAAAAAGGACAATGGTACCAATTGTATTTGATGAATTAAATGTATTCACATTTCCTCATAGTCGAATGAGAAAATTATTGCATTGTTGTACTTCAAAAGTAATTTTAAATAAAAACAAATCAATTTTGAATAATCTTTTAAATATTTCGTATTGTTTTTTTTTCTGTTCTTTATTAAAATAGTTTGGTCATACTGATTTTACAAGTTTAAATGATTTTGAAAAATTATTAATACGTTTACAACGAATATTTAAAGAATTTATGGCACATGAAGAAATTGAAAATCATTTAGTTATGAAAAAATTAAAGAAAAAATTAAAACAAAATTCTCAAATTGATGATAGTGAACTTATTTGTGATTGTCATAAAGTTGATCGTTTTACACCATTAATGGCTTTATTTCGTGATGGTTATGCATTTATAAGACGAGGAAATGCTGATAGAATGTCTTATGGTGTTAAATTGCATAAAGCAATGAACAATTTTTATAAAGATTTTGTACCACATATGAACGAAGAAGAAAACGTTTGTTGAACTTTTTCTTTTTTTTATATTTAAATAAAATAAAAATAATTTGCTTTTTTTTTATTTAGGATATTCAACCATTACTTTCAAAATATTTTACTGAAATGGAAATAAAAATGATGCGAACTCAAGTTATTAAAATGACTTTACAAAAACGAGAAAATTCTACAATTGATATTATTTATCCAATTGAACGACCACTTAAAATTTATGGTAACATTTTTATTGATTATCAATTTATTTTAGTTTTAGTTTTTTAATTTAAAGTTATTTCATATGAACCATTTACATCAATTAATAGTTTATCAGATCATACTTTACAATATATTATGAAATATTTAAATGATCGACAATTAAAACAATCTTGTCTTATTGTTAATAAACAATGGAATCAATGTGCATTAAAAGGTTTTTCTTTTCTTTGCAATTTTTCTTTTTTTTTTATTAATTATTTTAAAAATAGTTCTTAGAGATCGTTCACCAATATCACAACTTCCTGATGAAATATTCTTACGTTTATTTAAATATTATTTAAATCCATATGATTTATTTAATTGTTGTATTCTTGTTAATAAAAAATGGAAATATATTATCACAGATAAAACTATTTGGAATATTGTTAATCCTATTAATTGGGCAAGAGGTCTTTTTATCAATTTTATTTATTTATCTATTTATTTTCTATTATATTTAGGTCAATGGAATTCAAATATTCCATTAGAAGAAACAAATATTGATCAACATCATTATGATTTATTTGTAAGGATATTTTTATTTATTATACCATTGATCAAACTATCACTTACATACACATATACTGATAGAAAATAAATACCTTTCTAATAGAATTTTCTATTTTATATATTCTACACTAGATCAACTATTATCGGAACCTTTCGGAAAAAAAATGGGAAACTCTAATTCTCACATTTCAGAATATTTTTTTTTAATAAAACCATTTTAAAGAGAATTAAATCATAGGTAAACAATTATTCTTCCATCTTATCTTAAAAAATAGAAAGTATCACAAAAGCTAAGAAAATCATTTTTTTTGATAAATTTTGTTTTTGTGATTCTTTTAACCTTTTAAGAAAAGGTCATAGAAAATGCGGTACTGTTTCTTTAAAATGATATTTTTAAAAAATATTATTTTCGAACGTGAAAACTGTTATACTCGGTTTTTTTTCGAAAAGTTGACTATTTAAATCACTATTCGGTTTTGAGTTAATTACTTAATATTATAGAAAATAAAATGAAAAATGAGTTATTCTTAAAATATTTTCTACAATATTCTATATGATCACAATTCGAACACTATTATTAAATAACTGACTTTTTCTTAAAGAAAAATCAATCAAATTTATACTATTAGCAGATTTTAATCGTATCGATTTATTATGAAAATATTCGATAATTGATTAATATGATTTAATCAAATTTTTGTTTTATGGATTTTAGAAAACGAACGAAACTCGAATAATATCTGGTTTTGTTAAATATTTTTTACCTGAATATGGATCTTCAATTGAAAATTTAATTCTACATGGAAGTATAACAATTAACGATAATATAGTAAGACTTTTTTTTCTTTTTTTATCTATCGAAAAAATTAGACATGAAAAACAAAAATATTATTACTATCAACCAAATTTCTATACAACAGGAAAAGAAAAACAACACAACAAAATAATATTTCACATTTGGGATTTTTTTTCAATTAATTTATAAAAGAATTTTTTTTAAATTTCATTTAATTCTTAATTATTAGGCACGAAAAATCTTTGATTCATGTCCAAATTTAAAACATCTCAATGTCGGAATGACTAAATTAACACCAAAAGCATTTCTACAGTAAGTTTTTTTTATTTATTTTGCAAATCAATTTCGTTTATTTGATGTAAAAAATAAAAGTGAACCGTCAAAAAAAAAAAGATTAGCAGAGGAAATCCTTCTCCCTAATAGAAGAGGAACTATACGTTAATCATAGTAAAAGACTTCATTTCATCGTTTTTTTTCAGTTGAAATATTGTCGAAGAGTGAGGTCAATATTATTTCTAGGTTTTTCAAACTCTAAAAATCTCTTCGTAATCGTTTTGACCTTTTTTGAAAAAAGTTTTTTTATTAAGTATCATGAAAATAAATTTAAATCAATAGAACATTTCTATGATAACATTTTCAGATTTAGACATAAAACAATATTGACAATCTTTTACTATTTTCATCTCAGAAATTAAGACAATTATTAATAAGGGATTTTGAAAAGATTTTTTTTTAAATTGATTTTTATCAAAAAAAAAAATATCTTGAAATTTAAATTAAATGAAAATAAAAGTTTAACCATCAAATTTCATTTTAAAATATTTCAATTTATTTTATTTTATCGACTCTTTTCTCTTGTGAAGAAGCAACTTTTAACTGTCGAAGAAAAACAAATCTTATTCTGATATATTCTATAAGATCCTTTCATTGAGATCCACTTCTCGATAATGAATAAACTTCTTACCAGAGAACCTTTCCAACTTTTCTAATTTATTCTCACTCAGGATTTTCTAGATAAGGTAGAGTCTAATCAAAAAAATGATCTGAAAAGAATGTGTCCTTGGGGAAATATTCAATTTCTAAAAATGACTTATACCCACGGGGAGAAAAGAGGAGAGTTGAGTGCTCCAAATTATGCGTAGTTATTAGTATTGAAGTCTCCGGGAGTATGAGTCATTATTTGAAATTGAATTATTTGGTTAAAGTAAATTTCTGTGGTGAAGGATCAGGATTGTTCTAATAAAAAAAAATTGTTTTTTAAATGTGATATTTGTAAATAGTAAAAAATGTGTTGAATAAAAAGGTTTGTTTATTGATAGTTTTCGATGGATAAATTCATTAGAAAGTTTAATAGTCGAAGGATGTGAATTAATGGATGATTATTTATTTATAAATCTAATATCATCATGTATTTTATTGGAATATAATGATTTATTTATAATTGAAGATACACATCAATGTTTAGTAGATAAAATATCATTTGAAAAAAATTCTTTAAATCAATTATCATTATGTCAACAATGTTCTCATTTATATAAAAATATTTCAAATAAATTTAAATTAAAAATTCTTAATTTATCTGGTTGTTATCAAATAACTGATTATGGTTTAAAGTAAATATTTTCTTTTTCTTTTTTTTTAATTAATAAAAAAAATTTTCTTTTTTAATTTAATTTAAATATAGTTTATTAATAAATAATGGTATAACTGAATATTTAACATATGTTGATTTATCTGGTTGTATAAGAATAAGTTGTGATTGTTTATCATTATTAGTAAGTTCATCATCAAATTTAAAATCCGAACGTATTTATTTTTGTGATAATATATCATTATCTTTATTATCAACAGCTAATTGTTGTCAAAATGTTGATAATAATTTTGGACGGTTTTGTTGTCGTTCAACATATTAACTTATTCTCAGTTTTTTTTTTCTCTTTTGTTTTTTTTTTCTCAAAATAAAAAAGAAAGAAAAAAAGAAAATTAATTTTCATAAATAAATATATAATTATTGTTTTTAAGATAAAAAAAAAAAAATGTCATTAAACTATGCAAGAGAATTATTAAAAATAAGCATAAGTCAATTATGTGATGCTATTGGATTTGATACAACATCAGAAATAGCTATTGATATATTAATTGATGTTTGTGAAAGACAGTTTTTATCTTTAGCTAAACAAACATCAAATATAATTCAATTAAATAATTATTCTAATCAATATTTTTTTCATCTTTTATCAATTTTAATTGATAATAATCAAGAATATTTAAATAATTTACAAGAATATATGTTACAATTTCGATCATTACCTTTTTCACAAGATATTATTCAATTTCCATATAAAAAACGAAATCAATTTTACTTAAGAATTCCACCTAAACATTCACAAGAAATTATTCAAAGAGATCAAAATCAATCAACTGATTATATTTATGATTGGTTACCACTTTTTCCTGATCGTAACTTTTTTTTATTTTTATTTATTAAATTTTATTTTATCTTATTTTTCTATAGAAGAAACACCAGAACAATCAACATCTATTAATATTGATACTAATTTTGATGCGACCATTTATCATGATCAACAAAAAAAAATTGACAAGTATTTTTTTTTAATATTTAATACAAATTTTTTATATAAATATCATCATTTAAACCATCAAACAAATATATTCATTCAATTTTATTAATAGAGACTCATATATTAATCATTATCCTCACTCTTATATAGATATATTCCTTCAACCCTATCCTTTACCTTTCATCATAACATACATTATAACATTTATCGAATAATTAACTCAACAATCTTCTTAAAATAATATATCACTCTTTCAGACTATCGTTCTATTAGAAAAGAAACTCTATTAAAAGATCACCTCACCCTAACAAAACTCTAACTGGATAATAAAACCTATCAGAAAGGCAGAAGTCAACCAACTAACAGTTCAAAAATTGATCGTCAAACAATGACTCGATGAAATCATGGAACGATCGGATCTTTAATCTTCTAAAATCAGGCGAAGACTCTACAATAAATTATCATCTCAACAATTTAACCTTATATCGTTTAATAAGATTCTTGAAAGATGTTCCTTTCAAGTCGGAAAATCTAACGTAAGATCTTGTCCTCTCGATGTAAGATCTTGTAATCTGGACGAAATCTTAGAATAATCTGACAAAAAATCGTCGTCGAAGAAATCTTGTATCAGATCATACTATTAGATTCGTCGAAGATCTTACAAGATAACAACCTTTTTCAACAATCTTATTATACGAAGGATCAACACAATTCTGGGACGACGATTTTATCTACAATTTCTATCTGATCTTACAAGATCGTATAAGATCAGAGGTTTCATCGTCTAACATCTTACTGTCTGATTGTTTGATCCGGAAAGACTTTGGCGCCATAAATTATCTTTCCGATCTTGTAAGAATTGTACATCAAGACTTGATGGAAGTTTTGTAGACACCACGATTTCTGTCTGATATAACAAGATCAGAGATCCGATCGTTACCGTCTGATTGTTTGGCCTGGATAGAATATAATAGGAAATCTTATGTTACAGTTAGATCTTTGAAGAATCTTCCACTAGGATTTACTGTTATATTTATGAGAGAAAGATTTTTTTAATCTCGATTGAAGATATTAGTTGAAAGAATTATTTCTATGATAAGTTATCTATTATAATATTTAACTTTCTAAAAATGATCTATTTTAACAAAATATGATTTTGTATAAGCTTAGTAAAATAAGGCTGATAGAAATATTTGTTTAATAAATAAAAAATAAAAAATGTAATAATTGATTTGTTTAATATAGATCTGATTCTCATCATCCTTTAACATTATTATCATTCTTAAGTAAGAATGGTGATGAAACAACAACAATGCCAGTTGGAAGACGAGCAAATCAATCATTACCTTCAGTTCTTTATCGTCCACGACGTGTTATTGAAATGGAAGCAGCAGCAGCTGCTGCTGCAGCTGAAAAAGCAAAAAAAGAACAACTTGAAAAGGTTTTTGTTTTTTTTCAATTTTTTTTCCATAGAAAAAAACTGATTAAATTAACTAAAATAGGAAAATAATGAAAAAGAACAACAACAAGGTCCACCACCACCACTTCGTTTAACTATACCAAAACCTTTAGTTGTTAATGATAAACCTCCACTATCAATTAAAAAATTTCCACCACAACCATCTCAAACAGTCCCATCAACAAGAACAACAACTCCACCACCATTATCTTTAGTACCACCTCCAACACCACCACCACCAATAACAACTGATGGAACAGTTATTAAAAAACCATTAAGTGCATCTGTATTAGTTCCAAATAGTCCATCAATTAATCTTGGAAAAAAGTTAATTGTCAGTCCACCAATAAATCAATCAAATGAAATACATTCTCAATCACATCCATTAATTAATGTTAGATTTTTGTTTGTTTTTTTAAATTAAAATCATTAATTTGATTGTGCTGATTTTTTAGTTTTCAGAAATATCATCAAATATTGATAAAAATAATGATACAGTACTCGATTTATCAACTAAACCAATATTACCATCACCAATACCAACACCAACACCAACACCACAACCAACAGCAGCGAAAGTTCCAAGATTAAAATTAAATATTAAAAATGTTCCTAATACTCAAATAACAACTAATTCTGTAAATCAATATACGAGTTTAAACGAATACGAGAACGACACAGAAATTCTCTTTTCTCCTATCAATAAAATAAACGTTTTTGTTTTTTTCTTTAATCGATTTGAAGTAAGACATTATGTCTTATCAAAGATATTATTATCGATAGAATCAACTATCATTATTACGAATATTAGTACACGAAAAGACAAAAGTTATTTTTATAAATAATCAATAAATATTTCTTGAAATGTTCATATGACTAACTAGATAGGTTTTTTTCTTTCTCTATAATCATTCAGTGAGAAAAAGATTTTCATAGGTAGAAAAAGCCAAAATCTACTTGAAGATGACCTAGAATATTTCCTTAGAAGTATAATAAGCTTTGAAAACTGAAATTATCCATCAGTAAAATCAGTGTTTTATATCTTATGATAGAAGAGTAGAATAAATGTCAACTTTCGATTGAGTATCCAATTTCGAATGTTTTATCTCGTATTTTACTTAAAAAGTCAAAAACAAAATCCTGTGTGCTAAGATTTTCGAGAGTTTTGTGTGAAACCTTATAGGATTGTTAAAATTTCAATAAACATCAATTTCATCTTCGTGTTCACTACAGGGTTGGAAATAATATTATTCCACGGGGGTAGCGCTATGATTTCAAATAGAAGACATAATGAATTTTACATCGAATGAAAGCTCGTCAAAAATGAGGTTTATTGATACTAAATAGTGAGGATTATAAAAACTTTTTAGTGTCAAACTTAAGAAATTTTATACTTTTTTAGGGTGGAGGATTAAGGTATCAGTTATTCAAAAATGGATTAGTATTTCTTTCTTGGATATTTTTACATGGTTTTATAGAGCTCGTCAAGCTCTACAAAACTGTATATTTAAAAAATTTTTCAAGCCATCTTTTTGAGATACAAAGTTCGAAAAACTACTCGGGAAACCTCAAAAAACGTTTAAAAACTCTTTTTTTTCAATTTGAAGAAACACGCTCGATTTTTCAATAAAAGTAGATTTTTTCATTATTTTTACTACCTCAAATGTCTTGGAATATGCTCATTAGACGTAATTTTTCACGCTGTATCGAATGAGTATATTTCGAGGCGTTTGAGGTACTAAATTAATGAAAAAAGCTACTTTTATTGAAAAATTGAGCGTATTTCTTCAACTTAAGAAGCAAAGAGTTTTTAAACGTTTTCCAAGACTTCCCGAGTAGTTTTTCGAAATTTTTATCTCAAAAAAGATGGCCTGAAAATTTTTTTAAATATACAGTTTTGTAGAGCTCGACAAGCTCTATAAAATCATGTAAAAATATTTAAGAAAGAAATATTAATCCATTTTTGAATTACTGCCACCTTATTTTTCCACCCCAAAAAAGTATAAAATTTCTTAAGTTTGACACTAAAAGGTTTTTATAATCCTCATTGTTTAGCATCAATAAACCCCATTTTTGACGAGCTTTAATTTGATATAAAACTCATTATATCTTCTATTTGAAATTATAGCGCTGCCCCCCTGGAATAATATTATTTCCAATCCTGTACATCAAACAATCTGTTTGAAAACCATCTAGAATTATGCAAAATAAATAATTTTTTAAACAGATTTATTCATTTAGATTTGATTCGATAATCTTTAGTGATAAGTATTGATTATTTATTGAAAAGTTAATATAGGTATAGTCGTTATAATGACAGTTTACTCTATTAATGATAAGATCTTTAAAAATAATCTAATATATCAAGTTCTACAGAGAGTTCCTTGCGGAAAAGGAACTTTCAAATACGGTTTGATAACCTATGTAAAAACTAACTTGCCAAATACAATCAGATATGATGTCTTACGTGAAATCGATTAAGAAAAAACAGTTTAGTTTGCTGATAGGAGGAAAGAAAAGTTTATCCGTCGTCGTCTTCCCTCCATATTGATTATTCTACTACACAATAGGATCTATATATACTGGAAGACTTCCTTCATTGAATAGGATATTTATCATTGAATTCTATTCTCTAGATAAAATTAAATTAAATTTGATTTTCTCTTATAGAAATAGAATTCGAAAATTAGTATATATCAATATTAACATCTTCTAGAATCATCTCATTTATAATTACATAAGAGAATTTTATAATAAAAATATGATTTTAGAGAAGAATATTTTTATTATAAAATCGATTTTTATCTCGTTGTATAGCAAAAACTTTTAATCATTTTATTTAAAAAAGCAAAGATCTTTTTTTTTTCTTATGATTAGGAAACGCCTCCAACTGCTACAAAGAAATTTCAACGACCGACAACAAGTACAAAACCATTGGGAAACACACACGAGGTGATTTTATTTATTATAGAAATAGAAATTTATCTTGAAATTTTTCGAGAATTTTCAAAAAAGAAAACATCAGGATATGTTTATTTTACAGTCAAACATTTTGTTAAATATGATAAGAACTTTTATTTGCAAAGTAGACAAAGATAAAAAAAAACAATGATTTCTATTTAAAAGTAAAAATCAGTAAATGATATTCTCTAGAAATTATTTTCTTTTTTTTTTTTATTTGAAATCCTATGTCGATTTTATTTTATTTTAATATAAAATATTTCATAAATTTATTTATTTTAAACTAAATTGAAGGAATTTATTTGAATGAGAAAAAAAATTTTCCCATTTCAATGATCTTGTTTTAACCGTTTGATGACGAGTCAATTTCGAATAGTTAACTTCTCTCATTGCCGATCATCCAGTCAATTAGGTCGTCATCGAGATCATCATGCACGAGTGTCCAGATATGAATAAAAGATTAAGATTGACATCCACGGTGATACTCTTATTTTCTATAAAATAGATGATGCAACAAACACATCATATAGAAAATAAATGAGGAGATCGGTGCAGTATCATCGTTCTTTCTACTAGAGTCATTGATTAGAATTTTTCAATCGAAAACAAAAACATGGGATATTTATTCTGCTACTATTCATCAGAGGGTTAATTCAAATTTGATTTAATTCGAATTAAAAATCTATTGACTAAACAAAAAACGATATGAGAATATTTCAACGTTTAAACTGTAGACAAAGATTAATTTCCTTCGTTATTTATAATAAATGTTAACTAAATATTCTGATTAAAATAGAATTTAATATATAAATTCTATTTTTAAAGTATACTAATAAGAAAAAATAGTTTAGGAAATCTAATAAAATAAAAAAAAATAATTTAGAAAGTTAATTTAAAAATTCGAACATCATCATTACCTATATTTGGAACAAATGAAGCTACTCCAATAATAAGTCCACCAATAAATATTCAAAATGAAATTCGAACAAATTCAATTGAATCTTCATCAATTAATTTAAATAAATTAATAAATGATAATAAACAAAGAACAGATTTAATTCATACAAATATTCGAATCGATCAACCATCAACATCAACATTAATATCATCACAAGTCTTGTTTTATCAGTTTTTTTTTTCATTTTATTTTTGTTTTTTGTCTTTAGAATGAATCAAATGAAGATGAAAATAAAAAGAAAAAAAAGAAAAAACATCATCATAATCAAGATGATAAACAAGAGAAAAAAATAAAAAAAGCACAAGAAAATAATTTTAATGAACAAAAAAATATGAAAATGGATATTGATACTATTCAATCATCAACAAATCCTGTAACTAATAAATTATTTTAGTTTTTTTTTATTTTAATAAAAACAAAAAATATCTTTTAGCCATTAATAAATCCATCAAGTGGAGGAACAATTCGTTTAAAAATTAAATTAGGAAAACCATCAAGTTCAACAAATTCTCTTCAAACAAATAAATCTGATGATCAATTTAATTTGACAAATTCAAATGATAATGAACAACGTCATCATACAGAGTATTTCTTTTTATCTTTTATTTAAATAATTTTATCTTTATTTAATATAGATTAAAAACAAGTCCAATACGTTTAACATTACCTGTTGCATCATCAATAAATTGTCCAATATCTTCACCTGTTCAAATACGTCCACCAATTATTTCAACAATAAATCGAACACCACATAGAAGAAAATCTGGTAAAATAAAACGTGTTCCACCAAAAACTGAAATAAATGATATAAATTCAACATCAAATATTTATTTAAATGAAGATAATACTGTATCAATTGATGATCTTCCACTTGGTGAACGTACATCACCTAATAAACCTATTTTAAATAATAATCAAAACAATTTATCACAACCAATTATTTCAACACCAATTAAAAAAAAACAAAATACAAATAAAAAAAAATCAATTTCAAAACGAACAAATAATACTGTTGGTGTTGCTGTTATTGAAGAACGACGTGTACGAGTTTTATTTTTTCATTTTTATTTTAAATCTATTTCAATTTATCTTTTATCTTTACACTTTTCTCTTTCATTTACTAATCAAAAACATTTTACATATCACTATTCGATTCTATTAGATAAGATTATTTATTAACAAAGTTACTCAGCTTTTTTCAAACATTAATTATCATAGACATACTTTTAACATCATATAACATTATTTTTATCTATTAATAATATTCTCAGAAAATATTCTCGAATACTATTCCAATTCCTATAATCACTCTCGAATAGATTCTTCTCAAACTAACAAAAAACTTTTTTAAATTTGACTTCATACTCTACTGATGAAATATTATCATCATCTTAACAATATTTTACCTGAGAATAATTCATCTTCAAAAAACTGAAAACAATTTATTTATATTTATAGAGAGATTTTACACTGATTAGATACTCTTTAAACGTTCTACGAAAACGAATATGGATTTATCGACATATTCGATTTTTCAATAGACTCGATTATTCTCTTCTTCTCATCGGGCATTTCATCATGTCGAAAGAACTTCATTGGAGCCAATTGCTTTTTTTTTTATTTG